CCCCAAAACCCCAAAACCCCAAAACCCCAAAACCCCTGCATCTAATTTTTAAATTGAACTTTATTTCCTAAATTTTAAATTAAAATGGATAGGCCTTCCTTCAGAGAACGCTACACAGGCAGTTTTGATAAGTATGAGGTAGAGAATTACTGCCAGTACAGAAGTGTTAGAGCCCCTAAAAGAGCCTCTAACAGTGCCATAAGACAGCCTTACTGTGAATCGCTAAATTTTGGGGAAAACCACCCTTCTCCCATTCAAATGATGTATAAGAAAAGATTGTTCTACCCAACCAATCATGTCAGACCTATACATCCGGAGGGAAATTCCTACTTAAGATACAGAAGAAGTACAAGCAGAGGAAGAGACGAGCTGAGTAGGGAAAGATATAGCTCCAGAGAGACCCTCTCACCAGAAGAGCCGTTAAGACATTATGAAAACCCCAAAATAGCCTGCCCTCCTCGTGAACTTGTGCCCAATTTCAGAGCAAGCGATGCATTTAGAGAAGACGTGCTTAGAGTAGTGTCCCCACTTTTGAAACAGATTAAGGAAAGCTTTGGACAATTACCCACTGAGGAATCAAAGGCCTCGCCAAGACACATTTACAGTGACAATCAAGTTCCAAAACAAGATGAAAGAACTAAAAGTGATATAAAAAAGATCGAAAATAGAATAGCTGGATTTGAAAGAGAGCTTAAAGTGATCCATAGCGATATTTCTAACATCCAACCGGAGGCCATCCTTCAAAAATTTAACAAGTCTCAAAATAAAACTGAAGATGTGAAGAAGATCGTAAGGGAAAGTATTGAAAAATATCACAGAGATAATCCATCTCCTTGGGTTCAACTTGATGTAGAAGGAAAGCTTAGAAAAATGAACAACCAAATTGATGACATGGACCTTAAGATTTCCTCTGTTCAAAATAATCAAGGAAATGATGGAAATAGTGAAGAAATCGAAGAAGTCTACACCATGATGGATGACTACAAAGCCCAAATCCGTCAACTTCAGCAAGAAAATAATGAATTCCAGTCAAAATTTAAATCTTTATCAAGTTCATTTGAAAATTTGAAAGTAGAATTTACTGAAAATCAACAATTAACAGAAAATGATATAAGCATTGCTCAGTCCTTAGAATCCTCACAAGGCCAAGTTACCCTATCTCAAGTCAACTCCATGTTAGAAGATCTAGAGAAAAAGATTAGTAAGGCTTTAACTACTAGTCTCAATGAAGTGCAAGACCAAATGAAGCATATAAATAAAGAAGAGCTTGAAAAACTATTCACCGAAGTTAACAACCTGAGTGAATTCGCAGATGGTCTTCACAAAGAGCAGTCGAAAATTTCTAATGAGAAGATCAAGGAGATGATTAAGAAAGAAATTTCCTCTATCCCAGCAGTCCCTCAAGAAGTTCAGGATGAGATTTATGCCCTTCAACAGGATATTGAGCAGATCCAGAGCAATATGGAGGGATACTCAGAGACTTTGAGAAACCTTCCAACCAAAGAAGGAATCCTTAGCAAGGTTGATGAGAAGATTGTGAAAGCAAAACAAGAACAATCCATGATCGATGCTGCTCAAGATATGAACTTCGACAATTCAGTATTAGATGTTATCTCCCAAAAATGAACAAAGCTTCAGGAACAAGTTGATGACCAAGAAAAAGAACTTCATTCTGAACTGCAGAATTTAGGCGAGGACTTCCAGGCATTCAAGGACACTACAAATAAAAACCAAGAATCGATAGCAGAGTCTATCCATACAGTTGATGAAAAGGTGACTCAGGTCTCAACAAACCTCTCTTCTCAACTACAAAGCTTTGAAGAGGCTTTTAATGATATTGAAACACAAGTAGGAGACCTTGTAGAGTTCAAAACTCAACAACTAAAACTCAATAAGGAAGATAAAGTAGCTCCTGTGCAACAGAAGATAAGTACTATAGAAGAAATGCTCAAGAAAGATTCTGAATCTCAAAAACTACAATCCCTTGAGAAAAGATTTGATGAAATCGAGACCCAAATACAGCAAGATAAAGAGCAGAATAGTGAAGAAATCACAGTTTTTAAGAACAAAATTGATGAGATCCAGGTCTCCGCTTCCGCACCACAAGCTGCTTCAATTGACGAGGATGCCATGCAAGCTATTCAGCAAGATTTTGATGAAAGGTTTAATGAACTATCAGCTACCATCAAGAAGGATTACGATAAACTCTCTTCCAAAATAAACGGGCTGAATGAAGATGTAGAAAGGGCAGATGAGGTAATCAAGACCAGCATCCAAAGCTTAAAGGATCAAAGCGGGGAGGAAATAAGCAGCCTCTTCGAAAAAATCCTTCAAATCAAAAATGAACTTATTGAAGACTCGAGAAAACTCAAAGAGAGATTTGAAAGAATTGACAAAGAAGAAACTGACAAGCAAGAGTTTGTACTCAAAGAACTTAAAAGACTTGATGCCAAGATCGAGGAACAAGCTGAAGAGTTTGATAAAGATCTCCACAACGTGAGTAAAGGTGAATCAACCAGTGTTGCCTCCACGGTAAATAACTCCGAAGTAAACTCCAAAATTTCAGAGCTAAAGGCAGAAATGTTACAAGAGATCTCTAATTTTAAGGAAGAAGCCACTAAGGATCGTGATTTCGAGAGAGATCGTATTCTAAACTGCGTACAGGATATTAATGACAGCAAGAAACTTATGGATACTAAAATTGATGAATACGACAAGAAAATTGTAGCAAAGTTCGCCGAAGTGATCGACAGCAATAACGAAGTAAGAGAGTTCGCAATAGAGACTGAGAATTCAGTAAAAGAAGCAGAAAACCTCATCAAAACTAGCACATCTAAAATCAAAGAAATCGAGGATAAAGTCTTTGAGACCATGCAGAAATATGGAAGGGTAGCTAAACAAGCAAATGATATCGAGGTAAGAATCGAAACCTTAGAAGAGAAGGTCAGCAAAGGAGGTGTAATGAGTCCTTCTGATTTTGAAGAGAAACCCCTCCAAATTGAAGAAAGTAAGGGTGAAAAAGACAAGTTTGAGATGACCGATCTTTTCAAAAATTTTAATGGTAATATTCTTTTAGAGTCACAATTTAGAGGAAAAAGATGCAAAAACTAGTAAGCCAGAAGATAAAGCACAGAAAGATCGGTACGGGGCTGATGCTGATGAGCAATTTGAGCTAGAATCTCTGGACGATGAGGATGATGACGATGATCCTGATCTTCAGAAAGCAAAAGAGACTGCAATTAAAGGGATCAAAGATCTCGAGCAGTACCAAAAATCACATCCTGCAATTGAACAGAGGACATCTTCCGAGCTTGTCAAGAAATGGATTGGAATCGCTGAGAATGCGAATGATGAGAAAACTCTTCATGAGCTCAAAGATGAAATCTTTGATGAAGCAGGCTATGATATCATGGAAGAAGAAATAGACGAAAGTTATGAAGACCCATTTGAAGGGATAGCTGGAGGAGATGAACCAAAAGAATCCTCCCAACTTGATGATTTTTCAGGGATTGAACTGGCTGGCACAGAGGAAAAAGATAAAAAGCCTAAAAATGAAGGCAGTGATGAATATTCAGAGGAATTTGGTGATGATTATGAAGATGACTTCGATTTTTAACATTGGACTATTCATATTATAAAATCAATTAACTTCCATTGGCTAGGGGTTTTGGGGTTTTGGGGTTTTGGGGTTTTGGGG